AATTTTTTAAAAATATTTTAAGATTCTGACAATTTCTAAGCGCTTTTAATCGTCGCGGGCGCTACGCAATTTTAGACCTTATGACGGCGTTTCTTCAAGTTTTTATAGAAATTATGTATTCACTCGGATCAGTACGGCGATAGCGTTTTCGATTTGTCGTCTTAAATCGAATTTTGTAGAGAGAATCTCGTGCTGCCACTGGCAATCTGTCGGCTAAACGTGGCGATTACGACTTAGGTATATAAATACGAGTATGCTGCCGTGCTAGCATGAGGTTATTTTTTATATCATTATCTTTTATCGTGTAACTTACATATTTTACTTAAATGAAAACGGTTAAAGCAATTCTATTAATAAAGACAAAATATTCATTTTTCCCGCTCATAATATTACCTACACACACAACACAGTAAAGATCACGATTTAAGAACAACTTGCCGAAGCCAAATGCGGTTAAATTATTTTTTTATTCCTACAATTGACCGCTTGTTAACTCTTTATTCATTTGCTATAATGAACATATTTGGAATATCATAACATATTAACTTATGTATAATAATTTATGTGCCTAATCGCATGATCCGATTAAATTTAAAACACCTGTTCAAAATTTTCACTCAATTTGCTCTTACAATATACACAGGACGAGATGAGGATAACTCATCCTGATAACTGATGCTATCACATTCGGCCACTACACGACAAGAGTCTTAAATACATTTTGTACAGCGTAGTGCCTTTGATCATAATATTTTATGATCTAATGGACATCACACACGGTCAGTTCAACTGATCATTCCAACTGATCAGTTCAAACTAAAACTATTGATATTTTTTAAAATAGTGGATTTTCGATATATCGGTCATTATAAATATATTAACATCGGAGTTTTACATAAAAGTTTATTTATTGATATGTCGAAAATGCCGTGTAGTGGCGGTTGAGAATATCCACTACCCCATATCTTCCGGTGGGTGTCGTAAGAGGCGACAGAGGGAGACAGGCAGGAGATGGGCAGCAGCATCTTCCTGATAACAGCAACTGTACGACAAAAAAAAACTGCGGTTGCCAACCCGCTCGCCAAGCGTGGCAACTATGGCAATATACCCCCCATGAACAATTACACAAATAGACGGTAACGGCGGGGCAGGGGGTGCTAAGAATGTCTGGTGGAGGTTCGGTTGCCACCTACGATGACTAAACCTGGCAACATTTAACGTACGCACCCTGAAGACTGACGAGAAGATCCTGGAGCTGGAAGAAGAGATAGACAAGTTGCGCTGGAGTATTATAGGATTATCCGAGGTCCGAAGAGAGGGGGAGGACACGGTGATTCTCGAATCCGGCAACTTGTTCTATCACCGAGAGGGCGACCATCTATTTCAAGGAGGTGTCGGATTTATCGTCCACAAGTCTCTCGTCAACAATGTTGTAAAGATTGGGAGTGTGTCGACGAGGGTCGCGTACCTGATACTCAGAATCACCAAACGGTATTCGCTAAAGGTCATACAGGTTTACGCACCAACCTCGGCACATCCCGATGAGGAGGTGGAGGAAATGTATGAGGATATTTCCAAAGCCATGCATTCCTCCAAAACCCACTACACGGTGTTGATGGGAGACTTCAACGCAAAACTAGGCACAAGAGAAAACGGTGAGCTGAAGTTAGGGAAATTTGGAGTAGGGCAACGGAACCGAAGGGGCCAGCAGCTGGCCGACTTTATGGAGAAAGAGGGACTCTTTATGATGAACTCTTTCTTCCAGAAGCGGCCCCACAGGAAGTGGACCTGGTCGAGCACCGACGGTTCGACAAAAAATGAGATTGACTTCATTATGACGACCAGACGCCAACTGTTCAGTGATGTCTCAGTGATCGCAAGGGTGAAAACTGGCAGCGATCACCGAATGGTTAGAGGCACACTGAACCTAAACGTTAAGTTGGAGAGGTCTCGTCTAATGAAGTCAACGCTCCGTCCCCCTCGTGCTCCAATCCAGAATCCCGAAAACTTTCAGCTCGAGTTACGTAACCGCTTTCAGTGCCTACAAGATTGCAATGCAGTGGACGATATGAATGACAAGCTCGTGGAAACTGTCCATGCGGTCGGAGCTAAGTTCTGCAAAACCCGCCGCAGAAGAACACAAAAACTCTCCGATCCCACTCTTAATCTCATGGCTGTTAGACGGGAGATGAGGCTGCAATCGTCAACAGATTTGACAGCATACAGGCAACTGAACAGACAAATCTCCAAATGCATGCGGCGAGACTTACGCAGTCTAAGCGAGATTAGAATGGCTCTCCAGCACCTTAAAAACGGCAGGGTCCCAGGCGAGGAAGGAATTACAGCGGAGCTTCTGAAAGCGGGTGGAACACCGGTACTTGAGGTCCTTCAGAGGCTCTTCAATTCCGTCCTCCATGGTGGCACTATTCCAGAGGCGTGGAGCAGAAGGTCTTGCAGGTCTGCGGTGGTCTTGTTCTTTAAGAAAGGCGACAACGCTCTCTTGAAGAACTACAGACCGATTTCCCTTCTGAGCCGCGTCTACGTGCTGTTTTCGAGAGTCATTACGAATCGTCTCGCACGCAGACTCGACGACTTCCAGCCTCCCGAACAAGCCGGTTTCCGAAAAGGCTTCAGTACCATAGACCACATACATACCCTGCGGCAGATTGTACAGAAGACTGAAGAGTACAATCTGCCACTTTGCCTGGCGTATGTGGACTACGAGAAAGCCTTTGATTCCGTCGAAATTTGGGTGGTGCTGCAGTCCCTTCAGCCTTGCCAAGTTGACTGTCGATATATCGAAGTGCTGAAGTGTTTGTACAGTAGGGCTACGATGGCTATCCGAGTACAGAACCAGAGCTCGAAACCTATCCAACTGCAGAGAGGTGTAAGACAGGGTGACGTTATATCCCCGAAACTCTTCACCGCTGCATTGGAAGACGTTTTCAAGCTACTGGACTGGAAAGGATACGGTATTAACATCAATGGCGAGTACATCACTCACTTTCGATTTGCCAACGATATAGTTCTTATGTCAAAATCGCTGGAGGACTTAAGCACTATGCTCAATGACCTCAATAGTGCCTCCCAACGGATAGGTCTTAAGATGGACCTGGCCAAAACAAAGATCATGTTTAATGTCCATGTCACACCTATGCCGGAGTTGTTGCGAGTAGTAAGCTCGAAGTTGTAGACGAGTACGTTTACCTCGGACAAATAGTCCGACTAGGTAAGTCCAACTTCGACCGAGAGGTCAATGGCCGTATTCAACTCGGCTGGGCAGCGTTCGGGAAATTACGACACATCTTCTAGTCAGGTATACCTCAAAACCTGAAAACTAGATTGTACAACCAGTGCGTGTTGCCAGTGATGACTTACGGATCTGAGGCGTGGTCCTTCACTGCTGGCCGTATGAGGACGCTCAAAGTCGCTCGGCGAGCTATGGAGAGGGCTATGCTCGGAGTTTCTCTGCGTGATAGACTCAGAAATGAGGATATCCGTAGTAAAACCAGAGTGACCAACATAGCCCAACAGATTAGTAAGCTGAAGTGGCAATGGGCCGGCCATATAGCTCGAAGAACCGATAACAGATGGGGAAGAAAGGTTCTCGAGTGGCAGCCTCGTACCGGTAGGCGTAGTGTAGGGCGACCCCCCACTAGATGGAGTGACGACCTGGTAAGATATGCAGGAAGACGATGGATGCAGGTGGCTCAGGACCGTGCTTTGTGGCATTAATTGGGGGAGGCCTATGTTCAGCAGTGGACTTGTGAAGGGCTGTAATGATGATGATGATGATGTCGAAAATCCGATATTTTAAAAAATATCAACAATTTTGGTTTGAACTGATCAGTTGGAATGATCAGTTTAACTGATCGTGTGTGGCCACCATAAGAGTAGTGTATTGAGATGGGACAATATGAGCAGTCTGTTCTGAAAGAACTTACGATTATGTTCTCTTTGCAACGCAGCAATTTAAAAAAAATGCAGTTGTTGAAGTGAACGCAAGCAGTTTAATTTGCTTAGACGACATACGTCATTAACTTTGGAGAAAATGTAAATTGAACTAGCTTACTTTAAAAAATTAAATACCTTTTAAACTAATAATTGCATCAGTCGCTGAAATGCATATTTGTAAGCAACAGTGTATTCAACCTAAACATTGTAACTTTCATTGTAATGCATAGACATTTTTACTTATAACGATGAATGAAGTTTTTACTTTGATAATCTCAATTGTCTCAATGCTGTGTATGGGCGCGTCGCGATGTGAGTAGGGGTGGCAGACGTAGTTTATTGAGAGGGATATCCTCTATCTCACACCCAAAACTTGTCTCCTAATTTGAAATATTTAATAGAGGAAAAGGAAATATCGCGCGCATTCGACATTCCCTTTGCTAGTTGAGGTCAACGAGTTTAAAAATCACGTTGAGGTGATGCGCGATGTTAGAGTGACTAATTATGATACATTGCATATTAACATTTCTTTATTAACAAATGCCCCTATTGATATCATAACAGCGTCTTATTTAAAACAATATTTAATCTTATTTTATTTATCACAGGACGCCAGCAGCGGACACATTATACATATTTTTATTGAAAGTAGGCATAATCTAGGGACTGATGTAATGTGTATAGGTTACGGTACACAGCAATACGCGTTTTTATTCTATGTCCTATATCAAGACTCTCTTATCAAATCCTCTAAAATATAAAATGGGAGCGGGCTGCTCTGGACGCGAGTGAGGTGCTTTTTTTAAATGAAACAAAAGTGACAAACGAACTAACAATCCACCTGGTGGTAAGTGGTAACCATCTACAGACACCTGTAGCCTAGAAAGCAACAGAGGAGCGGTCACCTCTGACGACTCAGATGGAATGCCCTGCGCGGTGTAATTGTACCGGCTCCCTATACCCTTCCCGCCACCTGGACGAACCCAGACGGACTCCCAGGCAGGAAAACCTAAACATTGTGTTGAATATATTGTCGTGGCGCGCAGATGTACGCGGGCGCGCTGCTGGCGACGGCGGCGCGGCTGGCGTGGGACCCTAGCACGTACACGTGGTTCCGCTTCCTGTGCGCCGCGCAGTACCGCGTGTCCGCCGCCTATGTGCTGGCCGCCGGCCTGTGGCTCGCCGCGCTCGTCTACCTGGCCGCAGCCGCGGCAGCGAGCCGCACCCTCTGTCTACACATCGTGAGTACACCTTATTATTTTTGTAACTTAGTGACTGCTTGCAGCGACGTGCACCGCCTGTCTGCACACGGCGAGCAGTGAGCACACAGCTTAATGTCCTCCAAACCGAATTTCTATCACGACGGCCATTTTTAACGGGGACTAGCCATGTGCGCGGGACATGATTATAGTGACCAAGCGTTTGTGCATGTTCAGGAGCATTTTCTACTCCCTCACTGTCATAGTCCGATGGAACGGTAAACCGACGCATCATGCTACCGAAACAAAGAAAATATACTACGCGAAACCGAAGTGAGATCAGGCGCAGTACCAGAGGCTTTTAGCGCACTTTATTACATTAATAGACTAATGTTAAAAACGACTGCTTGATCTAGTTGCACCGGAAAATCTTAGCTTGTAGCGCGTTCTTGTTGAGCTTAGCAAAGTTTTCTTTCTTCTCTGCTGTAAGTAAAGTCATAACAATATAGCAAGACAATAATAATGAGACAACATACATTACAATGTAAATGTAAAATACGTGAGGACGCGACTGCTTCGTTAGTTCATGATGATGTCTTTATTTGCCAGTCAGTCAGATCAAACTTTGCTTTGTATCTGTCGCAGACAACTAGCTTAATCAGCTTTTTAGTTAACAACCTAGCCTTTTAACTAAACGGCGCCGTTCAACTAGCTGCCTGAATGATAGGCTAGGTTAGGCTGTTCATCACATATCCAACTCAACAGCACATCCGAGGCACGGCGCACTTGCTATCAGGTGGACTGAATGTCGTTTGTCCCTCTAGTTGAAAAAGTCATGTTAAAATTAATTTAAATTAGTATTAACACTGTTACGAATGCGTTGAATGCGGACGTGTTTTACGGAATAAGAAGTTGCTTAGACCAATGCTAAGTGTTTCCGCTCAGCTTTACTCTTTCTTAATTAAATGGTCTAACTCTTCTTAACTACATGTGATTACTTACACTGGTAAGCTTGTTGTATTTCGTATTAGCGTTGAAGTTCACTGAACTTTTATTGCACATCAAAATAATGAGGTTGCATCGTGTTTTCTGATTAGAGTTATTTATGCAGTACTAATAACAAAGTATTATCCTATCCTATTATCATATTATTTAACAGTGGTAGAGCCACGCGGCAGCTTTGCTGTTGCACGTATAGGCCGGCTCAAACCGGGGGGGTACCACGACCTCACAGAATACCGGCGTGAAGTGGAAGCTCTGCTTCCGCGTTTCGTCTGGTGAGTGCAGGTGGCCGGAGGCCCAAATCCCCCCCCCCCTCATCAACATGATAGCGGAATTAAATGATAGACTACCCCAGGAGAGTACCAGCACCCCTGGAGAATCCCTTGCTGAGCATCCACGACCATGTTTCTCCACTTCTGAGCGTGGGTGCTCAGGCTGCCCCGCGTATTCTGGGGGGGGGGGGGGGGCAAAATTCCGCTCAAGACTACAACTGCTCGGGGCAAACGGAGCAACAAGACCAAGGCGACCCCTGCCACGCTGTCCGTGAATTTCTGCAATATCAGGGGACTTCACTCTAACCTAAACGCCGTCCACTACCATCTCGAGACGGCGAGGCCGGCTCTGCTCTTTCTGACCGAGACGCAGGTGTCCTCTCCGGCTGATGTTTCGTATCTATCCTACCCGGGGTACAAACTGGAACACTCCTTTGTGCCTCGGGCTGGAGTTTGCGTTTACGTCAGAGAGGACATCTGTTCTCGACGCCTCGGCAGACTTGAAGGTTCGGACCTGTCCATCCTTTGGCTACGCGTAGACAACGACGATCATCCGCGCGTCTATGGGTGCCTTTATAGGTCCCATAGCGGTAATGCCGAAACAGACCGACTCTTCGACCACGTCCAAATGGCTACAGATTCGTTGCTACAGCAGATCCCCTCCGCAGAGATCGTGACCCTCGGCGACTTTAACGCCCATCACGCCGAATGGCTTGGTTCACGTTTAACCGATCATGCGGGGAGATCTGTTCATGATTTTGCCTTGGCATATGGTCTGACACAACTGGTTACTTCGCCTACGCGGATTCCAGATGTGGAGGATCATGCACCTTCCCTGTTGGACCTTCTGCTGACCTCTCACCCGGACGGATATCAGATTTCCGTCGACGCCCCTTTAGGCTCCTCGGACCATTGTCTTGTCCGGAGTGTGGTGCCACTCACGCTGAAATCGCGGTTGCATTATGCAGGCTGCCGCCGTGTTTGGCACTATAGGTCAGCCGATTGGGATGGGATGCGGTCTTTCTTTGCATCCTACCCTTGGGGGCGGGTTTGCTTCTCGCCGGACGATCCCAACGTTGTTGCGGATTCTGTCGTTGATGTGGTACTTCAGGGTATGGAACTTTTTATTCCTTTCTCTGTGGTGCCCATTGGAGGCAAATCTCAGCCATGGTTTAGTCACTCCTGTAAAATAGCATCATGCTATAAGCAGGAGTGCTACCAGGCCTGGGCTGACGCATCAGCGTCCCGGGATGTAAAAACCAGCGCTCTAAAAAAGAAGTATAATTGCGCCTCAAGGTCCTTCAAAAGAGTCATTGCCAAGCAAAGTCAGAGCACATAGGCAGAATTGGCGAGAAACTAGTTCGCCTTCCTTCTGGAACCCGTGCATTCTGGTCTCTCGCCAAGGCTGTCCAGAGGAATTTCTGTCAGCCATCTCTTCCATCTCTGCACAGGGAGGACGACGGACGACTCACTGGCCCATACCGCAAAGGAGAAAGCCGATTTTCTAGGCTCTATCTTTGCGTCTAACTCGACTCTCGATGACGGGGGGAGTACGCCGCCGACCATCCCGTGGTGTGAGTGCTCCATGCCGGAAGTGCAGTTCACACACGCTCGGTTCGCAAAGCACTCCTCTCCCTGGACATCCACAAGTCGAGTGGGCCTGACGGAATCCCCCCCAATTGTGCTGAGGACGTGTGCTCCAGAGTTGGCACCGGTTTTAACGCGTCTTTTCCGGTACTCCTACTCCCTAGGCGTAGTCCCAAAATCATGGAAGAAGGCTTTCGTCCACCCGATCCCTAAAAAAGGCGACCGCTCAGACCCGTCCAACTACCGGCCTATCGCCATCACCTCCTTGTTCTCCAGAACAATGGAGTCCATTGTAAACTGCCAGCTCATGAGGTACCTTGAGGATCACCAGCTCATTAGTGACCGCCAATACGGTTTTCGCCGTGATAGGTCAGCTGGTGATCTTCTGGTCTACCTAACTCACAGATGGGCGGTGGCAGTAGAGTCCAAGGGGGAGGCATTTGCCGTTAGTTTGGACATTGCGAGGGCCTTCGATCGGGTTTGGCACAAAGCGCTTCTTTCGAAGCTCCCTTCCTATGGGCTAAGAAATTGTGCAATTGGATCACCAGCTTTCTTGCAGATCGGAGCATCAAGGTCGTTGATGACGGTGCAAGCTCCGATTGCAAGCCTATTAATGCTGGTGTTCCACAGGGCTGCGTGCTATCGCCAACGCTGTTTCTTCTGCATATCAATGATATGTTGCAAACCCGTAACATTCATTGCTATGCAGATGACAGCACTGGTGATGCTCTTTACACCGGTCGAGCCAATATTTCTCGGGAAAACGTCTCCGAGTGCCGGAATAAACTTGTGTCTGAAGTCGAGTCTTTGCTGAACAGAGTCTCGGATTGGGGGCGACTAAATCTTTTCTTTAAAACCCCTTTGTCGTATCCCCTCAGTTTCAAGGCACTCCCCTTGTTGCCTTAGCCAGTATTGGAATCTTCAGCGTCGACATATCGAGTGACGTGCAGTTTCGTGGTCACTTGGTAGGGAAGTCCAAATTGGCCTCTAAAAAGCTTGGCGTGCTCAGCAGAGTGGGACAGTATTTCATGCCGGCACACCGCCTGCAACTTTATAAGGCGCAGGTTCGGCCGCACATGGAATACTGTTCCCATCTCTGGGCGGGGGCTCCCCAGTACCAGCTCCTTCCACTTGACTGCATCCAGCGCAGAGCGGCTCGAATCGTCGACGACCGAGTGCTTTCCGATCGGCTCGATTCACTGGCATTGTGAAGAGATGTTGCATCTCTTTGCATTTTCTTTTGCATATACCATAGAGAGTGCTCTGAGGAATTGTTCGGATTAATCCCAGGCGTCAAATTTCGTGAACGCACTACGCGGCAAACGTCCCGATACCATCCACACCATCTGGATGCTTGGCGGTCCACCACTGTACGTTTCAAAAGGAGTTTTCTTCCGCGTGCAACCTTTTCGTGGAATAGTTAACCACCGGCGATTTTTCCGGACCGATACGACCTGGGGAGAAACGAGCTTACTCCTTTCTAAAGGGCCGGCAACGCATCTGCAATTCCCCTGGTGTTGCGGTTGATCATGGCCGGCGGTAATCACTTAACATCAGGTGAGCCGCATGCTCGTTTGCCCCCTCTCTATAAAAAAAAAATTATCCACTGAATAACGTTTGATTGCAATAGATCTTAGTGGTGAAATTTATTTCTGCGACTTGGGTTTGTTTAATAAACACACAAACATTTTTTTATTATAGTAGACAAGTACATTATCAAGATTCTAATTCTACACAATTATAAATTCTTTCACGCGCTGGCTCGCGAGTGTTTTTCATACCAATACAATACCAATGCGGCGGATACCAACTTTTGTAACGGTAGTTTGCGGTGGTGTTGCAGTACGCGGGCGGGGTGGCGTGCCTGGCGGTGAGCGAGGTGGCGTACGGCGCGTGGATGGTGGCCTCGCTGGCGACGTGGTGGCGGGAGGCCCCACAGGCGGAGCTGGCTCGTCGTGCCATGGACCTGCTGCATGACCTCAAGCCTGCGCTGCTCGCTGTCGAGCGCTACCGGGACCTGGCGCGCCCGCTCTACGAAATGATCGAGGTGATCGCCTTGTTTGTCAAGTGAGCACTTCTCTAGCGTCGTGATTTGAAACTCGACGAAACGAAAACGCGATTATACCTGTCTCGCTAGAACGAGACAGGTATAATACACTCATACGATTTAACCTGCGAAAGAATGAGACAAAATATTTTATTTAATTTACGTGGATCGGATGATCGGATGGATCTACATGCTGCGGCTATATTATGGCTGCAACTCGAGTGGGTCAGCTCAACAGGAGAAGGGTCATGGTCTCACAAAATACCAGCGTAAAATAGTAGATTAATGGTGTTGTGTTTTGTATGATGAGTGTAAGGAACCGAAGACCCCTTTTACTGGAAACGAGGGTAGTCCTTGGGGGTGATAACGCATCTGAACTTTGATTCTTAATTGAGGATAGATGTAGATGTGTTTGGGCCACAGCATCCACTCACCATTTTATGCTCGTTTGTGACCCTTGTTCTATTAAAAAAAGACTAGCGCTACGTGCAGCACAGGATTAAAGTACCCAGGTGTGTGCCCAACACAGATGCAATTTCATATTCCGATGGGACGGAAATTTGCGACCGGAGTGAGATCAGGCGCAGGCCCAACGGCTTTACGTGCTTTCCGAGGCACGGGGGTGAGACACCGCCAACTTCCTGACTCCGGGCTGCTGAAACTGATTGAGATTTTTTTGACAGAAAAACACTGATTTTTAAACCGATCGGGTATTCCAATAAACCCGATTCGATGGTCCGGTTGACGCAGAATGAGCTTATGGTATCTTGAAGTCTTACAGTGATATGTTTGGGTTGGGACCCCAAGCGGATAGCAGCATCCAATCATCGCTATTGAAATTAAGATGTTTTTTTTATTTCAATAATAATCCCTGGGAGGAATCGGTGTTAGGGAGGACTTGTTAATCATTGTCTTCGGTATTTTATGCTTAATGTACAGCGGTTACGATGGGTTGCGGTGCCAGTGATAATAGCAAGATATTGAACTGTTTTTCAAGTGTTCGTCACAGTAATAACATTTTCAAGTGTTCGTCACAGTAATAACATTTTCAAGTGTTCGTCACAGTAATAACATTTTCAAGTGTTCGTCACAGTAATAACATTTTCAAGTGTTCGTCACAGTAGTAACATTTTTTCTTTTTCTTACAGGAGGTAGAGCGAGAAGCGCCGAATAATGTCGTGGTCATCGTCATATTCGGCGTGCTTGGAATGGTTCTACAGGTGCGGAGATATTTACTTGATGAATATTGACCTTTTTGACTTTGGAAAATTAGGTCCCATTGAGACCTTCCACTGCAGGGTAATGGAGAGGTTATCTTGGACTTTTATCAGCTTCAAACCTCATTATAGGCATCGTTAGCACAGACGAGTGCGCGAGTCCATCGTTTTTCTTTTCTAGAATCACGTCTCGGTGGCGGTATACTTCCTACTTCTCACAAAATTTTGTTTAATTTAATTTAAATAAATTATAATGAACACTAAATTGAAATAATGAATATATAAATAATGAATCGAGTTTGCATATCTAAAAAGCGTAATTTTAAATTAGCAAATTGGCCAGCGTATAGCAAGTCTTTAGAAAGCTATTTATTACAGCCTATAGATGAGGTCAGCGTCCAATCCTTATATATAATTTCATTAAGCAGGCAAATAAAGCTGCGGACAAACATATACCGTTATTAAGAACATGTGATAATCCCAAAAATGACTTCCGACCTAAGTTTTACTGGAATCGCACACTATCTCAAGTAGCACAACGTGGGTTGGCCTTGAAGAATTTTAGAAAGAACCCTATCCCAGCTAATCTAACTATATTCGAGTGCAAAACAAAAGCGAAGAAAAATTCAATTAATCAGGAGAAGGCAAGAAATTGGCAAAGTTACTGTAGCAGCATTGATGAACGAACGTCTAACTCCGATATGTGGAAACGCATGGGTTGGATCAAGAGATTTAATTCGTCAATATCACGCGTTTCAAACGAACAGAATTTTGGATATCTCCTTTGTAATCTAGCTCCCGATTACATCTTCCCGAAGCCTGAGTATTTCAATTCAAATAATACAGTACTGGAAGTCAATTTCACCCTACAAGAAATGTGTAATTGTTCTAAACAAAAAGATACAGTGCCTGGTAACGACGGGATTAACATATTCACTTATCATGTCAGTATCCATTATTTGCTTGAGCTATATAATTATATCTTCAACACCAGTATTATTCCATTTCAATGGCGGGATTTTTTTTTGTTTTGATTGAATGGCTTTTTGTGAATGAATGAATTGGTCACGCCGATTGCAAAAGTCTCGAATAATAATAATGTTAAACTTAAGCCCATTTCTTTATAATCGTGTGTCTGTAAAAATTTTTATTCCATGCTAACAAAAAGACTTGAGTGGTATGTTGAAAAAATAAATTACTATCTCAATACACGTCTGGCTACAGGAGAGGGCAGTCATGTAAAGACTGCTTAGACTAGTAAGTCAAATTTACTTAGGATTTTCTCGTAAGATCCCAACCAACTATAGCCTGTTTCCTGGATATCACAAATGCATATAACAATGTCTTTGTAGATACACTGATAAACTTACTTATGACGTATACACTCTTCGACAAAATTGTTATTGGAGAAACAAAAACATTCCTTTACTGGTATCCTCATATAATGAAGTTAAAGAAATCCAGATAGCATCATAATGTCTTTTATTAATGTTTACATTGCAAACATGGGTGACCAATACTAACGTAAAGAAAGTAATTGTACCTAATCTAGAAACGATCCAATATTCAAAACGTTCATATGACAGTAACTTATTAAATTATGAAGATAATATAATAAATCATTAAACAGTTGTATAAAAAATTTAATGGCTGGAGCTTTATATTTACGGATGGGTCGAAGAGTAGAAGGACTTTATATTTACGGATGGGTCGAAGAGTATTTTACATAGAATACACACATATACACAATAGAATTGATGTCAACCTTATTTTGTACAAGGATAGGCGTCGCCGGGAGCACACATACAAGCAATTACGTCGTATTATCAGTTATCACTACTACAAACCCGATTCGCTGTATTGACAGACGGATTTTAATACATATTTATTTGTAAATAGCGTGCAACATGGCATTTTCTAAATAATTTGCATGAGAAATTTGGAAACGATTGTAACGTCAAAACACATCTCGTGTTGACATTTATACGCGTGGCTACACTGGCCCCGCCTACTCCCCCGTTCTATTATCTATGTATTATAGTATTCTATGGTATTTTATGTGCCTAATATAGATTTAATACAAAGTCAAAATCATCATTATTTTAAAATAAGTACTCATACTTCTCTTATGACTTTGGAACTTATTGCGATCTCGGAAGCTTTGACCTATGTTATCAGCACCCAATATAAAAATGTCGTTATATTTACAGACAGCAAGAGTTCGTTGCAACATATATCGATAGTTTATAACATTAGATGACAAGATGTATGCTGCTGAGATTGCAATGGGCTCCATCGCATATCGGGTCGCACTGGGCAATGAAAATGCTGACATGTTAGCGAAATATGCAGTTAAGAATGGAAAGGAAACTAATATTATTTTGGATTACTCAGAAGTTTTACCTAAATTCAAAAATATAAATGTTAACGTGTGTCGGTACGGTTGTGTCAGATTGCGGCGTTCGTGATGGCGCGGCGGCTGGCCCGGCGGGGCGGGGGCGGTGGCGGCGGCGGGGGGCAGGGGCGCGGGCGGGGACGGCGCGGAGAAGCCGCGCTCGTCTGCGCCGGACGATGACAGCGACAGCGACGCGCACGAGCCGCGCGACGCGCACGACACGCCGCCCGGCTGGCGCAAGAAGGCCAACCTGCGCATGTACACCATCCTCGACAAGATTTTCTAGCAGGTTATTTATTTATTTATATTTAATCTTTATTGACTTCAGTTGTGGCCAGTTAGGTTGAAATATTTATACTAACTGACGTTTTTCACCGTCTGGAAAATATTATGGTGTTTTTTGTAAATAGAAACTATCCTCCATAGTATTTTGTAAAATATAACTGATAGGTAAAATTATATACGAATATACGAGTACATAAAAACAATTCATCCTACCGCATTTCCATTCTACCTAAAAATAATTTTAAACGGTGCAGCGTACGCAACGAATTTTATGCCTACCGTATACTGCAACATCTTAGGCGTTTTTAAAAGATCGAAATCAAAATATTCACACACTATACTGATTGATTATTATAAGACTATATTACATTATTGTTGTTTACAAAAAATTACCTTTTCAGCAATATCGCAGCAATTGTTTAAAATGTCTGCCATTTCTTTCTAAACACAAAATAGCACGTCTTTGTAAATTGTTTGTTAAACTTTCAATAACACTTTGTGCTTCTTCCCTTTACACTAATCATTTTAATTGCAGCCCACAAATAACAGTCTAGGGGGTTTAGGGGGTCAGATGACCTAGCCGGCCAGACCTATCCCCTCATTTGGATGTCTAAATATGCATGCACAGATGGTTCGTAATGAGCTGGATATTTGTCGTGTTGGAAGGACATTCCTTGCAGATGACTAAGAGAAACGTTTTTCAACACTGCGTCGATGACTGAACGTATCATTTGCAGATATACGTTACTCCCATCAATAGACCTTCAATCCATATTATTAAAAAAATAATAACAAAAATTTTGTAGTAAATAAATAAATCAATTAAAATCTATCGAAATTCAAATGTCACCCATAATACACACCCTATTTTACGAGTGGCAATAAAATAATAAAGTTGGTAACACACTCGCGGACACTCGCCTTGTCCTTTCGCAGGGTCACAGGCTCAAGCGCAAAACCATCCGCGCTCTCATTTCAGGGACCTGCGATTAGCTGCGGCGTAACGTCGCGTCGTATTGTTTACGTTTCTGCGTGTGTATCGTAAACATGTACCAATACTCTCATGTCGAGTATCTAGCAATGGCGAGATTTTATGTCTTTTCTGGTGAAAACTTAGACTATGCGTTGAGTCGATATTTACCCGTGTTGGAATTTACAACGTACTACAACATGCTTATCAAATTCGTTTCGGTGAACGTTTGGGCGGCAATAATTAACGACCACATCATTATTCCAATATGGGTTGAAGGTCGATTGACGGGAGTAACGTATCCGCAAATGATACCTTCCGTCATCGACACAATATTAGAAAACGTTCCTCCGAGCCATCTGCAAGGCATGTACTTCTAGCACGGTGGATGTCCAGCTCATTACGAATGATCTGTGCGCGCATATCTGGACACCCAATTCGAGGATAGTTGTATAGCTCGCGGTTGACCTGTGAACTGGTCGGTGAGGTCACTTCTAGACTTTTATTTATGGGCCAAACTAAAATGATTAGTATACACTAAAAAGAAAAGTTTAACAAACAATTTACAAAGACGTGCTAGATTGTGTTTAGAAAAAAGCGGTAGACATTTTGAACAATTACTACGATATCGCTAAAAAGGAAAATTTTTGTAATCAACAATAATGTAATATAATTTTGTAAATATCAATCTGTGTAGTTTGTGAATAAGTTGATTTAGATCTTTTAAAAACGCCTAAGATGTTCCAGTATACGGTAGGCATAAAATTCGTAGCTTATGCCACGCTATTTAAATTTTTTCAAATTTAATTTTTTTTTGGTACCTACCCGACAGTTTATTTTAAATTAGTAGTATTTATTGATAGGTCAATTTCATGATATGTTAATAAAAAAAATGGTAAAATATCAGTGCTGTAGGCTTTTACTCCGTTCACCTGTTACACCTTTTTTTCCAGACGGTAAAAGTCGTACTAGGTGAGTTTTTTACATTCTGGAAAATTATATGGTGTTTTGTCCAAGTAAAACAGAGGCTATTCTCGAAAGTATTTGTATAATAATTCAACCTATTGGACCAATGATGTAGTCTTTATTGATTGCCGTCCAAACTTTGGCAGAGAAACGCACTTGATAAAGATAAAGATCATTTTATTTGTTCAAACATGAATATACATACATACCTATGTCATTTTGTACGTATTTCTCCTACTTTATAACAAATAGCGAATTGTAGTTCATACTACTTAAAGATGTATTTAGGTATCTAGAGCTATGACTACACTTTAGTGCAGGCGGGCTGGACTAGCGAATAAGATTGTTTCTACAATAAAAAATTTCGACCGCAAGGTCTAGTTTGAGTGTCCAGCTAGTGCACAACAAGTACTAAATTCAAGCTCGAATCAAATTGTTCTCCATGTACCTGATGTATCCTAGCTATCTTAGAACATATCAAAAAACGTCTTACATTGAGGTTTAGTTCATTAGAACGTGTTTGCGTTTAAACTTATAACACAGTTAATCTATTTAACAGTATGTTCCTTACACTCCTACACAGTAACTTCAGTAGATATTCTACTGAAGTTACTGTGTAGGAGTGGAGTAAAAAGATCTACTACCCGTTATCGTATTGTGGGTGTCGTAAAAGACAATAGAAGGAAATTAAACTGAGGGTAAGCATTAAAATTTGGACAATAAGCAACATCATCCTGATACAACTCAAAATTATTTAATAAAAAATGCGTATATTCGTGGCAGGCGTGATACCTGGCAATCACGAGAAATGAGAACTTTTCCCTCTAAATATCAATCTATGACGGTGACCTATGTTCAGCAGTGGACTGTAATAAATGAATGAATTAAAAAAATACCAGCATTATTTATTACATAATGGGTATGCATGCAAGATGTTAAAAGAAAATATCTCGACAGTCATGTTTAGCCTCTACGGCGTACAAATGTTAAAAAAATAAATAAAAAAAGTTACAATTATAATTGGCCTTCGCCTTATTTAGTATTAATAAATTATACAATAAACATTAAAACAGAAAACAAACATCATTAGAGTAGAGAATCTATACATTTAAAAATACTTGTACTTAAAAACATACCTTTATTTACCTAAATGATTGTACAAATTCTTAGTGTTACATACTTACATTAGTCAATTTCGTATATTATTACTTTCGATTATTTTATGAATTCTACTTTATTATGTTCAATTAGCAGTAAGATAATGTGTAATCATTTATATAAATGTAGATATTACATGTCATAGCAGTTAGTGGTCAATGTTGTCTTGCAGAAAGTCATTAATATTGTAGTAGGCTTTATTTGCAAGGAAATTATTTAATTTATTTTTGAGTATGTTATTATTATGTTCTTTCCAGCTTTAAGGATTTTTATTACATATTTTTGGGCCCATGCAAATATGCTGTTATTCATTAAAGTAGTTTTTGATTTATGTAACGAAGTTTACTATTATCACGTCTATTACGAACGACCGCATCAGACATGCGTGGGAATAGGTTAGAATTGCTCTTAAAGAAAATTGCGCTTTCCAAAATATAAAGTGAGAGGGTAATGTCAATAATTTATATTGTGTGAAAAATTGTTTACAGCTCTCCGTGACCTTTAGTTTGAAAATGGTGCAGGGAGTTCCCAAAAAAGCCCAACGACAATCGATATTGAGCATTGGTACTAATTTGTAGAGTGCGTAAGAAGATTTACTGATTTTTTTTTATTAAGGCTTCTGTGTGTGTTTTCCAATTGAGTTTTTTTGTCAATAATTACACCAAGAAACTTCGCATTATCTACCTCATTAATCATTTTATTATTGTAGTGTATATGTAGGTTTGACATAGTAGATCCTCTTTGTGTAAAGTGCATAATATTAGTTTTTTCCAAATTGATTTTTAAATGATTATTTTCTAGCCATTTTATCATTGATATTAGGGAATTAAAATTATTATGGGTTATCCATTAACGCTCCTTTTAGGGTTTTAAGATGCGGCATCGGCTGCTCGCAAGATGCCGCTCTTTTGTTTAAATTGTGAGGTGGCGACGTACTATCGCTGTCGTATCCAAAATTACGGCTTTTTGAATTTTGTTCCTCACCCTCACTGAAATGCCCAGCTTAGCTAAATTGTCAGTAAGGGATTTAGGAACAACTCCCGTGGTAGAGAGAATCAGCGGGACGATAAGTACCTGCTGCTGTCGCCTTAACTGTCAGATTTCTTCAGTTAACCGCTGGTACTTAGTCAACATTTCAGTGCTGTACTTCTATACATTATGCGAGTTTGGAATGCCAATATCCAACAACCACGTCCGCTTCTCCTCCTTTTCTACTAATATTATGTCCGGTCGATTATGTTCAATGGTCCGGTCAGTTAAAACTGACCTATCCCAATAAAGTTGGGCAGAATCATTCTCGAGTACCGGGGATGGATTGTATTTCCAGTAGGGTTCTGTCTCCTTAAGGAGACCGTATTTTACTGCCAGCTCTTGGTGCACAATTTTTGCCACGTTGTCATGGCGCTGGGTGTACTCGGTTCCAGCAAGAGCCTGGCAGCCGCCAGTTATGTGCTGGATGGTCTCTGGCTTTTGATGACACCGTCGGCACTGGTCATCTTCGATACCTGTCTTGACAATGTACTTAAGATAATTTTTCGTAGGCACAACCTGATCCTGAATCGCCACCATGAATCCCTCAGTTTCAGCAAAGATCTCCATGTCTGAGCCAGTTGTTCGACGCTTCAATGTCGACATGTGGTTGACTCAGTTCATTAGCGAATCGACCGTGAAGAGGTTTTGAGGCCCATTGCTGGAGTTTGGCTTCTTTGTATTCAGCGTCAGTCTCTAACGGTGGGAAATTGTCGGCATGAAGGAGATCGAGCGTTGTTAGATACTCATCAGCCTTAATCACTGCTTGATG